CCACAGCGGAATCAGCTCTACGGCTGTTTTAGCATATGGGCTGGCATGAACAATATATTTGTAGACTTTCTTCATAAATACCTTTGCTGTATCCTCCTGAACTGCCATGAAGTTGAGGAAATTGATGTTAACCATGTCACTGCCATACACAACCGTAACAAGTTTATCTTCGGGGCGTTGCTCAGCTGATGTGAAGCCTAAAATTTCCCTCATTCGGGAATCCTACCACAGAAAGAAAAATGCAGCAAAATTTAAATAATTGGCAAGGCAAGCTATAAGTGATAAATAACAAAGACAAGAGTGAAACATGCTCGCACATGAATCCTGGACTATAAGGCAGTCAGTCCTCTGTGTATGCGCACGTTAAAACACGCAACAGCGCAGAATGAAAAAGATGCAGAATGCATGTTGCAGGTATTGCTACGTGCACAACTTTGCTGTGTTTGTCACGCATTCACAACCCCATTGAAATCAACGGTGATACAGAGCAAATACAGAAAACAAATGCACATGGACGCACAAGCAAAAAAAAAAAGGGGTGTACACTGCAACAATCCTCGTGGCCAGCCGACTCATAGACCAGTCCCTTCCGTCTTGCTCCCCCCTCTGCTGCAGCGGTCTAAGGTCCATGAGTAATAACCTTCTATACACAGTGTATTGGACATGAGTATGCCAAGGAACATATCATTGTTGCAGTGGGGGAGGAGAAAGGCAGGAAGGAGCTATGTCACAGGCGGCCGGATCCAAGGATTTTTTTTATTATTAACCTAGATAAGAATAAAGCTGGCCATACACCTTACAACCCTGGCAAGACTTTTGTCTTGCCTGGGTTGTAAGGTAATTTAAAAAACGTATGATCTGTCCATCTTTGACAGGCAGATCGTACTTGCGATCATCGCAAGCCCGCCCTCCTGAGTGGAGGGCTTCTGATTACTGCAATGCCGCATAGGCAGTGTGCGCTTGTGCACACCGGCCCGTGCGGCATTTGTCTAACCTGCCGACAATCGTATGATTCTCGGCGGGTTTTCAAGCCTGATCGGGAGACAAAAGACGTGCGACCGTACAGTAGAAACGGTGGCACACCTTCCATAAACGTGCCGATTATCGTACGATCGCGGGATTTCCCACGATTATCGTACAATAGTCGGCAGGTGTATGGGCACCTTCAGTAGTTAAGTCTTGCAGTGTGGGGGTAGGCCAAGGGTTAATAAAATGTGTGCCTGGAGTTCTGCTTGAAGTCTTTTTCCCTGTGATATGGCACAATCGGTGTAAAGATTTGATTACTAGGACACCAGGTTAGGGATTAAAACTAAAAGCTGAATATATTTTCAATATTCAGCTTCAATCTGTTAGGGAAATCAATGAAATTGATTACATTCATTCTTTTTGGGTTTTTTTGTTAAGAGACCCTGCAGCCCGGCTATTCATTTCAAAACAATCTTTCCATAATATTTGATGCGCATTTCATGTATTTTAGGCATGCTATAGACCTGTAAAAGCCTCCCTTGTGTAGACATCCAAAAAGCCAGAGACTGCTACTAGGCGCCGCCATCTTGGATGTTCCAGCCAACGGCTGTTACACATGTGCAGTCTATAGTATTATTATTATACAGGATTTATATAGCGCCAACAATTTGTGCAGTGCTTTACAATATAAGAAAGACATTACAATCACAATACAATTCAAGACAAGATGGTAAGGAGGGCCCTGCCCGTGAGGGCTTACAATCTAAAAGGGAGGGGCAAGCGATACATGAGGATGAAGTTGTGTGGGGATGAATTGTTTGAGAACATGATGGTTGTATTCCCTATAGTAACTCCCTTTACTCCTCCTACCCCTGCTACACTAAAGGTTATGTAGGGCGGTAAGGGGTAAAGCAGCAGGGTCAGCACAGACTGTAATAAGACATTCCCAGAAGAAGAGAGGGCTATGGTGTGCAAGGCATGAGAGAAGGGGCCGTCCTAGGAAATAGACTCTTCCTGAAGTAGTCAAATTTGCTAACAAGTTCATGTCCATAAAATGTTTTGATTGATTTTTGATGCAAGTAAGCATTTCATATACTTACTTTTCTGTGCGTCTACCTGCGCTTAAGTTGATGACAAGGTCTGTTTAAAGTTTAGAATGTATAAATGGCAGAGAGGCTTAAAGGACAATTTATAACATGTCAAAACACCTATCAGCGAGGTTGATTTATTACAATAGAGGCTGTGTATGTGAAGTGAATGTCAGTAAATATGGTGGGGAAAAAAACAGGATCTGCTGAGAAAACACAACTTTGACTCATTTACCAAGAACAGTGAGCATTCACATTGATAAATAAACAGCCTCTAAACTAAAGGTTAATCTGCTCATGTTGTGCCTTCCCTGGTTCCTTCTTTCCCCCTCATCAACATGCTAATGACATTTTTTTCAATACAACCTTTCTATTTTCATTACATATACTTTTTTTTTAGATCTCTGTGCTTTGCTATGCAATGCAGGCAGATTGTGGCTCATCCCACCTGTAGTGTAAGATGGCGCAGCCTACATTAGAGAGACAACTCTGCTCTGAATTCAGGAGCAGTGCGGCATCGTTGCCACACCATCACAAAAAGTTACATTAGGTGGACCTCACTGGCAGGTATTTGTGGGACCTTGCATGGGGACTAAGAGAACATCTATTTTTTCTTTGGGAAGCCACAGTTCAAACCAAATGTGTTTTAAATGACCCTTAAGTAACAGACATAATAGAACAATTTGGACATCATGCTACATAATATCAAACAGAGTACTGCATGCATACACAGTATGATTTTAAGTGTTATGAATAATAAGAATAAATAATAATAATATTTCTATAGGGCTTTTCTCCCTGGGGACTCAAAGCACTGAAGCACTCCAGGCATCCAGCTAAGACACTACTGTAATTCAGTTCAGACAATCTTGCGATTTACACTGCATAGTCAAGAAGAGGACTGCACTATTTACTATTCCACCTTTTAGCTCCCTGTGTCTCCTGCCTTCTTATTGTGCTGAACCACCTTCTAATAAGCAGGCTAGAAACAATATAGTGAATCTGAACCTGGAATTAGGAGTGTGCCTTTCATCTGTGTATAAAGTTGGACTTCAGCAGAGCAATGGTTCCTTCCCCTCCTCACTGCCAAATCTACAATAGCTGTATGAGAGAGGAATAGAAGTTGTAGTTGGTGGTTGAGTGAAGCCACCCTCCCTGCCTGGCTTGGCGTATTTCCCAGCTCCTGGCAACCAGTGACGTAATTGATTGCCAGGAGCTTGGTGGGACGCTGACCAGTGTCTCAGATTGTGAAGAGCTGAGCGGGGAGATGTGTATGGCCCTTACACATCTCCCCACCTGGCTCTTAGCAACCTTGGACGCTCTGGACAGAAAGCAGTCGGCAGGCACACTGCAAACATTGCTGCGCAAATGCCGACTGAGGCAACAGCCTCAAGCTGCCTTTATATAGGGCGGCCCTGTTCTTTATTGTAATATAACAAACTAATTTGCTGACTATTTTAAATGACTTCACACCAAATGTTAAACACCCCTTAGTGATATCAACGTACGTTTACAATTATACAGGCTTTTCACACTATAACTGTGAGACCTCTATAATACCGATACCATCCAGCGTAATGGTCAGTATTTGGGTGGCCTTGTGGGAGAAAAGGAGACAAAAAAAGGGAGCCAGACGCAGCACAGACTTCAATGATATGTAACCTCTACCTTTGCTAATACATTTCATATCAGTGAAAGTTGTACAGGGTTCTTTAAAACTGAAATATCTGCAGAGCCTGCTTTTCATAGAAGGTTGCCAAAAGAGATCAATGATTTAGCAGCCACATTGAAACTTTTTTCACTTCTCCACTAATGATCTCTACCCAATACAACCAATCGTTCTATCCCATTCTAAGGTTTTAAACTGTAAGGATATCACTAGGGGTATAACATTAGATAAAAGACAAATGTGTAAAATACATGTCCGCTGTAAAAAAAATAAAAGCAGAGATTAGAATTTTGTCAGCTGTAATAATTCGGACAAATTAAGACTAACCTTACAGGATATACAAATGCACAATTTTCATGCCAGTTCTATATTAAGATGTTTTTAATAGACCCACCAATTCTAAATAACACTCTTTGTTACCTCCTCTGTGCAATACCTGCCTTGGACAGAAGATGGAACCAAAGTACAGACTTAAATCACCAAATACTGCTCTATACATTGACCTCCTTATCCAAACAGAGCAGCTTATGCAGTAACTCATGATACTCACTGTTAAGTGCCCTTAACAAATGATGCTGGCAATATCTGAGCCTCTCTTCAGGCCAATGTAAATAACGAGTAAACTCTTGTTTAACCAGTCTGTGTACAGGTGATGCACATTACAATGTCTGAAATCGCCGAGCTTCCCAATCAGGAGCTTTTGTGCCAGTGACAGAAGTCTGGTACATCAGTTTCAGAAATCTGTCAGCATTATGTGATTTGACTTTAAGAAATGTTAAAGTCAGAAGATTATTAAGCTACTACAAATGCTGATGAAATCGCGTAAAATGGATGCTGCTCCTTGATGTTTAAAAGTTTTAGTTTGCAGGGTCCTATGAAGCCACCATTGTATGCTAGTAAGCTGTGTCTGTCTCCACAAACACACAAGCACAGCAAGGCAAGACACTCCCCCCCCTCCTCTTCTCCAAGCTAGTAGATTAAAGGAGAACTATGGGGTAAGTGTTTTCCCCCATAGTTCTCCTAAGGGTCACAGGAGGACATAAACTAGCGTCCTCCCGTGACCCAAAGGTCAGTATACCGCGAGCTACAGCTCCCGGTATACTAAGACCTCCACAGCCGAGACGGATCCCGACATTACTGTCGAGATTCACCCTGCTGCGTGATTGACAGCTGGCTCTGCCTATCTAGAGGCAGAGCCAGCTGTACCCGCCCCCCTCCCCCATCTGTTCCGCCAGTCAGCACTGGAGGATCGGAGCAGGGGGGGGGGGGGGGAATCCCGGCAAGGAGCCGTGAGTGACAGTCACGGCTCTCTGAAGGGACATGATCAAAAGGTGAGCGAGCGAAGGTATGTGTTGGCTCACTTCCCGATCTATTGAGCCGACCTGTGACAGTCTCATTGTCACACGTCGGCTCGAACTATGAGGTTGAGTGAAAACCACTCACCTCATAGTTCTCCTTTAACAGCTGCTGAACACTCCTCTGTCCCTTGTGAGCTTTAACTGGACAGGAAGTTCAGGAAAGCTGAGCTGAGAGAGTTGGAGCCAGGTCTTTAGAAATAGGACTAAGTGCTTGGGCAAGAAATACTTTGCTGGGTAATGTGTATTTCATCTGGATTAATTATTGAAAAAAGTTTGAGAAATTAATGCTACTTTAACTAAACCAAAAAAGTAGATTGTTCCTGAATCACAGAAATGATTAATATAGTGTGTGTAACACAGAAGACTGCCCTGTCCAAGACTGACAGTTCTGAGAATTGCCCGCTAACAACCTCATATGGCTCTTCAAACATGCAAATGATATTATTTCTTTTTTACAATTTTTTTTATTAATAAAAATGTGCTCCCTTATGGATTTAGAGTGAGACACCTGCCAAAGCATTCTGTCTGAAGAGAATAGGAATCTCTATGCATGCCTGTTGAGGTGATTTTAGCTAATCTTCAGAACCCAGATTCTATGTAAAATTTGTAATTATGTGCACTATATGGCCAAAAGTATATGGACAGCCATCCAACGTATTAAGTTCAGGTGTTTCCAGTAAAGAATACTGTTCGTGCTACAGCATCCAAAGGTATTTTAGACAACTGAGAGTATCCAACAATTTTGGGGAAGGCCATTTTCTGTTTCAGCAGGACTGCTCCCCTACGTACAAAGCCAGCTCCATAAACACATGGTTTGAAGAGTTTAGTGTGGGATAACTCCAGTGGACTGTGCAGAGTCATAAATTCAACCCTACTGAACACATTTGGGATGAACTGGAATGTCAGTTGAAGACCAGGTATTCTTATATGACATCAGGACCTGACCTCACAAATATTGACGGCTGAATGGTCACAAATTCTCATAGACACGCCACAATCTTGTGAAAAGTCTTCCCATAAGAGTGGAGGCTGTTATTGTTGCAAAAGGAAAGGGGGCGATCCATAAAAATGCCTATTGGTTTTGGAATGCAATGTCCAACAGGCTCATTTGGACGTAGTGATCATTGGTCCACAAACGGTTGGGCATAATGTGTATGTATGTGGGAACAGCCATATTTTCTGATCACATATGTAGGATCTGCTTCTTTATCTTCAGTGCTACACAGTGGTGGTACTTTACAGCAACCTATTACAGTGTATGTATATGGGTCGGCAGCAGAAAGCAATGAACTCTATGTGGCCAAGCTTAGTTTTGGATATAACAGGGAAAGAAATCCCAGCCACTGTTGGTTTTCAATTGTTATTAAGGACTGTGTTAGAGAGGTTTTCCCTCACTTTCCCTCAATGACTGACAAGAAAGAAGTGGGGGATAGATCTGCAACAAAAACGGCAATAAAAACTGACAGGGGTTATAGCCTCCCACTACATTTTTGTGTTTATGTTTCTGTTGGAAATTTCCCCTCACTTCCTCTCTGGAAACCTGTTGTCACTGGGAAATGAGTGGAAGCAAAAAATCCTAATCGCACATTATCCAAAAGCGGCTAGACCAGGGATGGCCAAACTCCGGCCCTCCAGCTGTGGTGAAACAACAAATCCCATGAAGCATCTCTCTCCGGGAGTCATGTCTGTGAGAATCTTGCAAAGCCTCATGGGATTCGTAGTTCCACCACAGCTGGAGGGCCACAGTTTGGCCATCCCTGGGCTAGACATACCCATTACAGTGATGCTGCTGATTGCAATTCCAGCCCTAAAAAAAGGCATTTTTTTAATCAAATCATATAGAGATCCATTTGGTGATCGAATCTTTAAAGTCCAATCAAATTCTAATTGCATTCTAAGCCCTGATGAAGGGGGAGTTTTTTTTACCCCTGAAACGTATTGGCCTTCTTTTGTTTGACCGAGTTGTTAACAATTAAAGGCACTTTTGGGCTCTTTCAACTTTTGGTTTGGTGCCCTTTAGTTCTGAACATCGAGTCACTTCTGGTTATCCAACAAGTGAGGCCTGTTCTGTTTGAGAGCTGCCTTGCCAGTGAACTTATTTGCAAACTTCGCTCGATTATTAAATGCATTATTTCGTTTTTTTGCTTTGCATCTGACTGCAAACTTTGCTGGCAATGTTTCTTTTAGTTGCATAACCATTAACAACAGGGTCAGTAGGACTGAACTGTCGGCACATTCCCAATACATATTTACTTCACTTATCACTTACAATGATATTGGACAGCAATCACAATTGTTGGCACTACAGCACCACTAGCCAGCTCTGTGGTCTCTTAGAGCTATGCAATTGAGCCAATAGGCAGATGAAAATCTCCTTACTGCTAGATTCTTAAAAGCATGCTATACTAGCATAAATGTAGCAGTAAAACTAGAGAGGATATTGTGAGGTGGGGCAAAGGAGACAAAAAGCACCCCCCACACCCTTTAATCCAGGGCCTTCTTACAGCTCAAGGGCCACATGTGGCCGTTTGGGGTTTGAAGTGCAGCCCTCAGGCCCCAGCAGTAAGTGGATGGAGAAATGATTTGTAAAGGGGCCTTTAATAACAGTAATCTCTAGCAGTTTTATATAACATGTCCCTAGTCTCTGTCTCCAACAGCATGACTTTAGGCCCCATGCACACCAAATGCAAAATCTGTTTTTCAGAAGATGGCAAAACAAGGACATCTGAAAATGAATGTGTGTGTGAGTAGTACACACCAGTGCGTTGCGTTGTGTTGATGTGCGCTGCCCTCCGCTGAAAATAAGTAGAGCGGGTTCTACTTTTTTCACCGTACCGCAATGTAACGCAAATCGTGTTTAACGCATGTTAATGCAACCCAATGGACATCAACGCAAGGCAGAACCCATACTTTATATTGCAAAGTATACAAATTAAACAATCAAAAAAAAAAAAAACCACAACGCAACTTATGTCAATGTACTATGCCAACACAAGTGAACTCACTTGCATTGAGTCACATCCAATGCACACTTTCCGGTGTGAATGCACGCTGTCTTTAACCACTCCTGTAAAGCAGTCTCTGACCATTTTTTCTAGTCTTCTGTAGCAGCACATATAAGAAGTATTATATGCAGCCATTTGGCATCGGGGGCCACATTTGAGGCTACCATTGCCTTTTAAGTTTGCAACAACTGTTCAAAGTGATCGATTCATTTGCACAGAAGCAGGCCTCTCAACATCAGAAAATGAGACAAAGTTGTTATTTAGTTGTGTAGTGATCAAAACAGCTCTGACATTAAAAACTACAGAGAGTTTGTAAGTTTTCAGTCATTATTTGCACAGAGTACCATGCTGTACTTACCTTTGGTATTTTAGCGTACTTTCCTGTCCTCGTGTCTCTGATGAAACTTATATCTAAAATATCAACTTCCTGGAAGAATAAAAGAAGAGACACCAAGTTACTGACAGTTGAATTATCTTATGAATACACACAACGCTGATTGCATCTCTTTCTTCTAGCTGAGATAACATTCTATAACAAAAAACTGCTAGAAATGAATGTCTGGTATGCAGCACTGTTCTGTTATTCAAAATGATTGTTATCTGGGTTCTCTATAAGAAGGGTTCTTTCCACAATGTACTACACTACACAGATATAGATACATAAGTCATTAAATGGTTATTAAACCCTCAGCTTTTTTTGCATAGATCTACTGCTAGCTAGATATATGCAAAAACCTAAAACAAAAAAAGCAGAGTTTTAACCTCTTGTAAAACTTACCTGTGTCTTCGCTGCGTGCTCCCGTCCGAAAATCTGAAAAATCTCGGGAGGCCGCAAAGGACCTTGGGGCGAGCGCATGCGCAGTTCAGATTTTCGGCCGGGAGAGGAGGAGAGACACAAGGTAAGTCTTAGGACAGCGTACACCCGCATGCAGACACCGTGGGACAGGAAGTGCCAGCAAGCACAGAGGAGTCAGCGCTGGATCGGAGACCCGCAGCAGCGCTGGAGGGACATCTGAAAACGACTGGAAAGAAGATCGGCTTAAGAGACATAATTTAAGGTAAGTGCTTATTCTAACATTGGAGGGAGGGAAAAAATATATATACTTTAATGTCACTTTAAATAAAATTCATAAATAGTTTTTCTGCCTTGCAGCTCAGACTATTTCAAAACAGTCCCACTTTTTAAAAAAAAGATCAAATATAAAACTTTTTTTGGATAGAGTGGTGAGTTGATGGAACGGCTGTCAGGTTTTTATTGCTGTCTAAAAATTAGTTTAAATCAAACACTAACAGGGCTATTCACAAAAGAGTAAAGAGCATGGAGAAGGCAGCAGAAGTGAACAATCTACGACAACATAGCTGATTTGGAAAAGTTCGCCAATCCAGCGCACTTTCTGGCTCAGTTGTGTTGGCCTAGATTGTTCACTTCTGCTGCCTTCTCCAAACCCTTCACTCTTTTGTGAATAACCCTGATAGAGTTGCCACCAGAACATAATAGAGAGGAGATCTTGCAATGGGAACATTTGTTCCTGTGACCACTATCTAGCAGGGTATTTCCGTTACACTGGATAGATATTTTCTCACTTCCTTTTGACAAGACAAAGTGAGAGGAAATCTCCCTGATGAGACACACAGATAGTTAGTAACAAACCTACAATGGTTTTAACCCTCCCCTACTCTTTGCAAAATATAAAAAAAAGTTTTGCCTTTAAATATACTTTAAATTAACCCTGTTGTGATTTTTTTTAAGCCCCGGATGACTGAAGAGAAGGTAGTAAATACTCATCTTTCTCGAATACCGGACGGCGGATCTCTCTGATCACTAGAACTAAGCCAGCTTGGAAACTAACACTTCCAGGAATGTTGAACTCCATGGTTCCTAGTAGCTCTCAGTGGTTCCTCCCTCTGACTTCATATAACTGCAGGCACCCTGTGTGGTTCTGACGTGCTTTATCTGTCTATGACTTTGTACAAATATAGGAACCATGTTTATGAAGAGGTGTTCTGGTAATATATAGGTTTTATTTAAAAAGTAAACACTGTGACGGGGTAATTTTAATCATATATTTATTTTGAGGATGTACTGTATGCATAACATAAAAATACACTAATATGTATGCATATTATGTGTGTGCTATTCTATTCATATTGATTATGAAACTATTGGTATTTCCATTTAGAAGACAGCTACTGTAAGCTACCACTCTGCTATTAGCATTCATCAATTGAGGTTCAAATATGTTGGCCACAGGCACACAGATTGCTTTAGCCTGTTGATCCAATTTCTTTACCATACTCTGTGTGGCCTCTGTGGGCATGATCTCTGTGCTTGGTCTTTCAACCAGCTATTATAAGCCTTAAGGCTCTGTTCACATAGGGTGGTCTGGGATTCCTGCAGCAAGAATCCCACGTGTCCACTTTCAGATATGGGCGCTGTACGGATGCGTACCTTGTACAATTACATGCGGACTGCCAGATACAGCCACTGTTACCGTAATTTACTTCAAATGTGTACAGCAGCTGTATCCGAATGGGGACGCCGCAGGAATCCCAGAACTCCCCGCCTTACTCTCAATTCAGGAGCTGTTAAAGTCACCTTGGATGAATGAGAATGTAGCAGTAAATTGCTGAAGTTGATATTCCATAAGGGATGCTCCAACACAGTAAACCTGTCCTTAGAGAAATATAGGAGCTTCCACTGCTAATCTTCTGAAAATATTAGTTGCCTGGATGTATCTTGTTAAGTTACCGCTTTGCAACAAGAATGTAGATCAGTATGAAAAAGTGTCAGAAGTCCTTATCTGCAGGCTTGTTCTAGGTAATTTATTCAAATACTATAGCAAGAGCATCAACACAGCAGCCAGACAACCAGCATTTTCAGATGGAGAACTTTTCCTGGAAACAGCCTCTAGTCTCACTGATAATAAAAGTGTATATTATGGTTTATGTATATTTAATACATATTAATATATCTAAGAGAAAAATATGGCAGATGAAACTTTAATCTTCAGGGCTGTAGAGACGACATCAGTTTTTTCCCACCGGTCTCTTTGTTACTACTGTCTGCTACAGGGACGAAGGGGCTGGTGTAAAACATCAGAAAGAGCAGTGCTGGAATAGAAATCTGACAAATCTGAAAGTGTTTGATTCTGAAGATTCATAGGGAGACAGTTTCTCTTGGCTGCATTGATGATTGGTGGTGCAGGCCATATTTCAAACTGGTATCCAAGGTTTTAATAACCAGGTGTAGTATGGCAATTTTAAATCCAACTGCCTTGAGGGGTTGGCAAATAATTTTCACCCCCAACGAGAGGCAAAATTGTCATTACCAGTCAATTGCTTTTGTTTCCTCTGGACCAAAACCAGTGAAGTATGTTAGAGACTCACCTTAACGGAAATTATTCAACTTCAATTAGTCTTTTATTCAACCTGAAATAACTATGTAGTTATATATTTTTCCAAGTATGTAAATGTGAAAGTCTTCTTAAAAATTACTTTAAAGTAAGCAGCAAAAACAACTATGAAGTAAAAATACACTACACTTTTCCTTTAAAGTAACATTAAAAGGCATTAATGCCCCATTTCCTTTCTGCTGCAAGCACTTACCTTATTCAATGCCTCTTGCTTCGATCATCTTCTTTCCACTCGTTTCCGACAGTCCCTCCAGCGCTGCTGCCGGTCTCTGATCCACTGCAGACTCCTCGTGTCCCACGGTGTCTGTCCAAAGTGCACGCTCCCAGCTGCGTCCATTGAGCTTCAGTGTGTTTTCTTCCCCTCCCCTCTACTGCGCATGCGCCCGCACACTTCTTCACTGCCATTTGGGAGCAGGTAGTGCTTCAGCTGGGAGGGAGCAGCGTTGGAACAGGTAAGTTATTAGGTATTTGCCTAAGTTTTTATTTTTTTTTAACCATGGGGCATATAACTACTGCTTGCTAGCAGTAGATGTATGCCAAAAAAATAAAAGATTTGAATTCTACTTTAAGCCTTTTTATCGAAAGCCCACGATGTGGAACAACAGAGGTGGCAGGGACGTTTAACTGTAAGCTGGATTGATGTGAATGTACCATGTGACATGCTGCTTAATATGTCGACTCTACACAAGTAAACCTCTGATAGATTACTAGACTACGATGTGTATTTCCTAACCTTCAGTAAACCACGTTTTTGTAAATAAAAGAAGCATAGAAAATGTCGGATTGTCTAATTTAATGATCCTTCTTGTACACATCTGTACTTCATGTGCATGCATATGCTATTAAAACGAGTTTACAAATTATAAGCATTTGTGTACACATGAACAGGGTTTGGCTGGGCGGATAGTGTTTATCTCAACATAGAGTGGGGGAATAGACAGAATATAAAAAATGTAAACATTGAAACCAGCTTTCCCCTCCTCCTCCTGACTTCCGCAGAGTCCATCATTTCAAGACAGGACCTGATGGAGCCAATGCACTGAGAGTCAGGAACTAGGATAAAAGGACTAACGTAGTAGAGGAAATGATAGAGACATGAAGAGTATATCTAGGTGTGTGGTTAGGACACAGAGAGAAGAGAGGATAAAAAGACCACAGGCATTTACCCAGGGGAAGTAAAGGTAACCAAAGTCTGACAGGCCGTGGGAAACAGAGTGAGAGACGGCATATCCATCCGGTATCCAGATGTGGAGGAGGGGTAGGGGCCCAACTGGACACATCCAGATGTGTCAAAGGCTAAAGTAACACAAGGGAGGTGGATGGACAAAAAAAGGGGGTTGACAAAAAAGAAAGAAAAAATGTAAAACTGTCATCAGGAAGGAACAAAAAAAGTAATAAAAAGGTTAAATGATCAAAATTGGGGAAAGTAATATCCAACTCCTTCATAAACTAGTAAATTACATTGAACGTCATCTTTCAGATGCAGATAGAAGTATGACCGCTAATCTCATAAAGGCTGCACTCGGCCGCATAAGTAAAAATCGTAAACTCATTTTTCCTATATGCCCCACACTTTAGGGTGCCAGTGTAAAGAGGGCTGGGGGAATAATTACCAATTTTACCAAACCTGATCTGCTTGTTTAAGTAAAGAAACACAAAGCACAACAGAATACCAGAATTTCTGTTCAGACCTGTAAATGATTTTGCACAGTAAATGGATTTTACATTATTTTGCCCAGTAAAAGGGGAAAGATATGATACAGAACACTTCAAAAAGTATTTCAGCAAGCTGCGGACCTCTGATCCATGCAATGCCATGACTCTATTCCTGTTCTAGCCAGCACAGTACACTGCTGTATCATTCATTTGTGGTCTGCATAAAACTTAAAACCCCTCAATGAGATCCCTTGAAAAAAGTCAAGAATGTATTATTTCCTTTAATTGCTGCACTTAAAGCAGAACTCTGCATAAAAATGTTCTTAACATTTTCAGTACCCCTGCACTGCAAGGATTAGGTGCTTATTTTTGTCTCGGTTCAAAAATAAAAAATTATACTCACCTTATCCTAGGAGCTGGCTTGATCTTTGACCGGTCCCTGGAGTAGGGCTGCAACAACTAAATCGACATAATCGATTATAATCGATTATTGAAAAAGTTGTCAACTTTTTCAATAATCGATTAATCGGCTTCCGATCAGTTGGCCCTGTTCACAGCTCCACACGCTGTGCTCCTCCCCACCTCACGCTCGCCGCTGCCAGACCCGCTCGCATCCACGCTCCACACGCCGCACCTCCTCCCCGCCTCACATTTCCTGCCCATCCACATCCACGATCGGCACAGGGACGCGGGGAGATGTAGTAAGGAGGAGCAGGTGTGGGGGGATGACAGCTGCTGATAGACAGGTCCGATCTCAGAAGCACGTTGCTGGAAGACTGAACTTTCCCACACATGGTGCTCTATAATGTATTGCTGGGATTTGTATTTCTCTATAGCTGATGGTACATTGTGCGATATATTATGCAGAGGACTACAAATCCCAGCAATAGTACATTATACACTGTATGTATAATGTATTGCTGGGATTTGTTGTACTCTATAGCTGGTGATATTCTGCATTGCGCTGTATAGAGGACTACAAGTCCCAGCAATAATGCATTATACAGCGCAATGCAGAATACCACCAGCTGTAGAAGAGTACAACAAATCCCAGCAATAATACATTATAAAGTGGTACAATGCTAAATACCACCAGCTATAGAGGACTACAAAACCCAGCAATAGTACATTATACAGCGCAATGCAGAATGCCGCCAGCTATTATGTACTATTGCTGGGATTTGTTGTATTCCTCTATAGCTGGTGGTATTCTGCATTGCGCTGTATAATGTGCTTTTGCTGGGTTTTGTATTCCTCTATAGCCGATGCCATTCTGCATTCATTGCTGTATAATTTTACACTTTCCATTTCACTATATTGCACACCACACTATCTTTTTTTCTTTTTTACTTCCACCGGTCCAAGGTTGCTCCTGTGATGGACTACAACCTCAATACAAACTAGTAGTCCTATCACTGGAGCCATTTTTTAAACTTTATTTGATAGTTTATCCGATTAACCGATTAATCGAACTTAATAATCGGCTAACTAATCGATTTTGAAAATAATCGTTAGCTGCAGCTCTACCCTGGAGCCTACCTCCCCCTCTACTGCAGCAGTCTAAAGGTGCCCATACACCTTACGACCATCTTGCGATGGTCGTATGCTTATTGAAAGCTCGTACGATCTGCCCACCTTGGACGGGCAGATCGTACTTGCGATCATCGAAAGTCCGCCCCGCTGAGGGGCGGGCTTCCGATGACCGCAATGCAAAACGGGCAGTGTGCGCGTGCGCACACCGGCCCGTTCCGCAGCTATCGGACGAGCAGGCTAGAAACCCGCCGACAATCGTACGATTCTCGGCGGGGTTTCGAGCATGTTGTTTCGACAAAAGATGTGCGACCGTACAGTAGAAACGGTCGCACGTCTTCGTTCACACTGCTCGATTCTCGTACGATCGCGGGATTTCGCCCGATTCTCGTACGAGAATCGATCAGTGTATGGGCACCTTTAGGATCCTTGATTCATCATGTCCTATACAGTGTATAGGACGCGAGGACACCGAGGGACATACCATTGCTACAGCGGAGAAGGAGGCAGGTTTGAAGGAGTGCTGTTACAACCGGCCGGCTCCGTGGATCGGAAGAGTTTATCTTTGTTATTTTTGAGCCTAGACAAAAACAAGTGGGATACCCCTGCACTGCAAGGGTTAAGAAAAATGTTGCCCGGAGCACTGCTTTAACATTTCCCACAGAGGCTCCCTTTCATGCTCTATTATTTACTTGTGGAAGGAAACTGAAGAACCAGAAGAAACCCACAAAAATGCACACAAATACAGGAGCGCTGTCGCACCTGCACAAGTGTAAATTGAGCCTTAGAAGCACCAAAGAGGGAGGAGTTAAAAAGGGTAAACATGGAAAGTATTAGGAGTAAAAGGCAGGAGAACTACTGGGAGAAGGCAGCACAGCAATGAAAAGAGAGCAAAAGAGAAAAAGGAAGAGGAGGTAAAGAAGGACTTGCATTTCAGCCATGAGAGAAATATGCAAGATGCCGTTACTAGTGCGGATGCATTGATACCGATACTAGCAACGGTGCCAATACCGGGTATTTGTGCGAATACTCGCAGTCGCCCAAATGCACCGATACTTACCCCCGATACCGGAACTTCCAGTCAGAGGGAAATTTCCTCTAACCGGCAGTGCTGCGAGGGAACATGGAGCCGGCCCTCCGGCCATTTGGGAAGCCGGGCGGCAGGTAACGACTCACCGCCTGGCTTCCTGATTGTCCGGGAAGCCGGCTCCATGTTGATTGGCTGGGAAGCCAGCTTCCTGTACAATCAGCATTGAGCCGGCAAAATAGCATGGAGTTGGCTTCCTGGCCAATAAGAAGGCCAGGGGGAGGGTAATGACACGCTGCCCGCCTTCCTGATCGCTGACTCCATGCTAGCAGAAGTACCGGTATCGGTATTTGTTATCAGCAAGTACAGAAAGATAAATATCGGTACTCGTACTCGATACCGAAAAACCGGTATTAGTGCATCCCTAATTACTAGCTTCTATGTGAAAATACTACTGAGTCGCAAAACAAGCATACAGCAAAATAAAGGCTGGGAAAAAGTCAGCCTCCTTTATCATTATACTTGTTGTATGTCGGCGACTCGGAAAATATCAGTAGGAAAGTCAGACAACTAGCATTTACAGTAACAATGGTCAGCAAAGGCTGCCTCCATATTTCCCCTATGACAGGTAGGTTAAACACTTCCATGAAGCTATAAAAGATTCATACAGGCAATGAGAAGCAACTTGCAGGCACTGCCAAGGTGTGAGTGTTCCCACACGTGTGGCGGGCTGAGTTTGAATAATTCATAAGGATTATGGAGGAATTAAGGTGAAAATACAAATATATTCTGGAAAAAAAATTACTGTTAACAAAAAGAAATTATATTTGTCTAAAATCATAAAATGCATGACACCAAATCGAGCTCGACATTAAAATAAACACCATAAATCCTTAAAGCTCATTAGGAGCCGCACAAAATGGAGCAATGTATGCAACCCATATCAAACACTTATAAGTTTCCATTTGTAAAAAAAAAACAAATATTATAGAGTCAAGGCTGTGATTTGTTTCTGTGGGTTATTGCATACCTAATATTAGTACATCCCACGCTGTTGTCAATAGCACACACACTGGTAAAACTGGTTAAAAAGAAATGTCTATCTAGACAGATTAAATGCTGCTAGCAACAGCCAAGTGAAACTCAGAAACAGAGACAATGAGAATGAAGGTTGGGTGAGAGACGGGAAAGATAGGGTGTGGGAGCAGCTGTTACAGTGAGATAACTGAGGGTGTTGGAACAGTTACAGACTGGGACACAGAGAAGTATGGCTTATTACAGGACATTAACAAATACTGATCTCTAATCCATATGGACTATCCACAGCTTGTCTCCCATTGTTGTACAGGAGCCAAAGGCTAAACAAATCACAGAAGCTAGCTATCTACCCAGTGCATCTATAATAATTACTCCAGCCTCCAAACAGCTATGTATACCGATTTAATTAAAATTGCAGGTTTTATAGCTCCAACTGCAGCCTAAATTCTTATTTAATTTTAGATACAGTGGGGAGGCCTTGGCACCTCTTTTGGGTGTCTACTGCTGTCTCCACTCTCACTGTGGAGACTTTCTCTTACATCTTGTTCCAGTGACCACACAGGCATTGGGGGAACCACGTCAACAGGGACACACACCGCAGTAAAAGCTTTAGGGCTAAGGCATGTGGGCATCATTACTTTACTGACATCTATGCAGGATCTTGCTGGCAGAGGCTATGTAACGCATCTTGTAGTCAGTAAAGTGCTTCAGTAAACACGCATTTAGACGCGTGAACATACAGATCTGTAAAATCTTTCTTCCATTTCTTTAGTTCAAATATACGAGTGTATGCATATATAAGACTTGTGTGCATTTATATGTGTACACATGCAAATTGCTGGCCTCAGGCACAGATTTTCTTTTTTTTTATTATGTATCTGAGCACAGCGCTAATTTACTGATCTTTAAGAACCATGTGTGTGAGGTCATAAAAAAACAATACATCTGCATTCAGATCTGTAAAATAAATCACTTTACTGATATAATTATATGGCTATAGTAGTGTGTTGAAGCTCAAGCTCTGTGTGGATTCTAGGATGGAGTGAATTACCAATTATTTTATTAAATCTCCTGTCTTCTCCAGTGGCAGAATCGTCCTACTACAGTTCCCAGCCCATTCTACAGCTATTGTGA